AAGAAAAAAAATTATTATTCAAGCAACTTGAATAAACATTGTTTTACATTATAAATAAAATATGGCAATATTGAAAGACAAATTGAGACTAGAAATGCAGTTGAAAGAATTGCAGACGTTTTAAAAAGCGTTAAATTTTGAAATTTTAAACCAGCTGTAACTATATAATATTTTTCAACAGTCATTAGAAACAAACTAAAAATTGATAATAAACACGCCGTGTTTGCTAAAATACCAGAAAATAGGCATAGATTACTATTTCTCCATTTAAAATCATTGTCTATATAATGTTTCAAATATTCAATATCTTTTATAGATATTACGACAAAATAGCTACAAAGCATCATATCTGAAATTGTTAGTGACAAACTAAAAAGGTGTGAAGGCCTATTTAAATTTTTAATTTTTACAATCAAACAACAAATATTGAATAGTAACGCAAAAAAAGGTTATTGAGTAAAGGAAAACTGCAAATTTTCCATTCGTTACATTCAATTTTGTTACTGCAAAGTTTGTATCCTTTATTAAGAAGCTATTAAGAGATTTGAATACTGCAAAATTTGATAGAGAAATCTTTTTCCAACTTTCATTAGAACGGTATTGAAAATTGTTTATTTCCGACAAACAAATCAGACTGATGTATCTTTCGCAAGTGCAGTTTATTGGACAATTAAATTTAGATCTCTGCGCATTTGGGTCGTCCTTATCCTTGCAAAGAGTATAAGGTTCTGTTAGCCAAAATCTCATAGGAAGGAATTTATTTGACCTCCTCTATATTAATGTTAATTGATAGATTATTCCATAGGACAAAAAGCGTTTTCCCTACTATTTGCGCATCCTTCTGAAATTGAATGAGATTGAGAGAAAAAGTGTCAAAGAGATTCTCTTGTCACATTTTCTCCAACATTTTAAAAAATACTTTTCATTTTCAATACATTTTCTTCTATCTGTCTATTGAATTGAATTGAAAAAAAGAACAACTTGAACAAACACAAACATAATTCTACAGACCGCAATCAATTTCGTCATTTCCATCGTTACAATCTACCGCAAAATCGCAAACAAACCTGATTTCAATCCTGTGAGTATTGTCGGAACAATAGAAGAAATCTTGGTGAGAATATGTACAATTCAATTCGTCAGTTTTATCAAATAAGCATTGGAATGCTCCCGCAAAATCTTCTTCTTTGCTGTTGCTTATATAGAAGAGTTTTGTTTCATTTTCCTTCTCTTTACTCAATATTTCAACTTTTCTTTCGTAAATTATATATTTAAATATTGCGCTTGAACATTTGCCGTTAAAGAATCCGTAGTAATTGAAATGCGTATATTTCGTCATGTAGGCGCATTCATTTGGAATTTTACAAGGAACCCTACAAAAAAAAACAGAGAAAGTAAAAAAATATCTGTGTGTATCTGTTTTTGTTTTCAGAAAATTTTGCAGTTGTTGTAGTGTCAACAACTGCAAAATTGTTGTGATTTTTAGATTCATAAGCATATTATCCGTATTTAGATAATCCTTTATGGTTTGATTATAATAATATCCTATTGGGATTGTTGTTTTTCTTAAAGAAATATTTAAATTGTTGAATAGGCTCGAGTTGATTTTCAATTCGTATGAATTTATTATTGAATCGATAAACATCGCTTCGTCTTGGTGTGATATATCAACCAAGTACTTTTTAGCGTCTCGTCCAATGTCGTCATAGGATAATAGATTTGCAGAAGTGCAAAGGAAATAGCAACTGTTCATGTAAATATAGACATTACTCGAGCAGTTATTCACAATGTTTGAACAGTCTTACAGGTGGAAAGAAAATGGAGAAATGAATATAATAATAAGATTAACGCAAAGTTATTCAATTATTTATTATCTAATTGAGTAGTTGTAGCATGTAAGAGAAATATCGGATACGTAGAATCTGTTTAACCATATCTCTTCGAAACGATCCACTTGGCATTCTTCCAATTTTTTTATACCTTTTCTATTACAATTAATAATAAACTTTTTCATACTATTTCCCCAACTTTCCTCGAAAATGTCAATAGTTCCACTTTGATATCCAAAATATTGACAAGTTAATTGTACTTGATGAAAATTGAAATTGAAATTTGAAATATAATAAATGACGTCATGTAAAATTGCTACCAGTTTTCCGCTAATTGAATTTTTATTTTCAGTTGGATTTTTCTCTTTCTCTTCTCTTTCAAGTTTCAATTTGAAATCTACAACGGAAAGAAAGTAATTTTTAAAAACAAACAAACAAACAAAAACGAGTAATTAATACCAGTTAATTTTGGAGATTTTGAATTGGCATTGGCAACACTTTTAACGCATTTCAATCCAATTATTTTCTCGTATTATTCTGAGAACAGGACTTGCGTTCTTTTGACTGAATTGTCTTTGACTCAAAATAACATTTAATTGCTTTGCATTCTCCAATAATTAAGTCTGTATTTTGGGATTTTAAATATATTTAAAGACCCAAAAAAAAATTCACCAAAAATAGAAAACAATAGTTTACTTTCACTCCATTCATCTTTAAAGTTTAAACAATCTCTAAAATCATTTTTAAATAATTTCTTATCAACGCAAGATCTTTGGGCGATAATGTAAGTTTTTATTGGACTATTTTACCTTTTTTATTTTTCCCTATGATTTTTACCTTTCAGTTTTTGAACAGGTTTTGAAATCTTTAAAATAAAATTATTTTCTATTAGAAAGTAGGCCTAGACAAGACAATAATACGAAATTCTATCAAAGTATTGAATTTGCTTATGACAGAAATTTTCGTCCGATCCATCGAAACAATCTTCAACGTAATCGCACACCAAATGAGATTGAATGAATTGAGTTGAATTGCTACATTTAAATGTTGAAATATGATGACAATTTCTTTCATCGTAACCGTCGCTACAGTCATTAAATCCTTCGCAAACGGTCCTTTTATGTATGCAAATTGAGTTGAAATGACAAAAAAATCCATTATTTTGGCATTTTTCCAATTTTGGAATTTCCAGAATCAATGATTCTAAATTCATATGTAACTCTATTCAACAGTAAATACGATTGATTGAATTTCTAATATAATGAAAGTATTTATAATCACTTTTTATAATACTTTGACAAACTATGAAACTGGTAAGGACGGAATGGTCACAATTCCTTTCGTGAAACATTCCATTTTTAAAATCCATAGCACTGTTGCATTTAAAGATATAATAGATTTATATAGGCTTAATGAGAGAGCACTTACATGCCCTTAGATCTTTTATATTCATTATAGACTAGATGAAAGCATTTCTCTCCAAAACTGTATTCGTCTCTTCTGTACAAACTATATTATTTAAAAAAAAGTAAACCGGAAGTGGAAAATATTAGGAAAGAGAAGATATTTTAAATAATACGCTAAATTAAAAGATAATAAATCAATTGGTTGATTTTTCAATGTTGTAATACTAAGAGAATTTACTGGAGATTTTTGAATATTAAATGCTGAAATATTAAAATAGCAAATAGAGGAAGAACAGAAGCTAAAAATCAGGAATATTTTACTTTGTTCCAATGTAAACATTGTATAATTTAAGTCATTTCTAACAATCTTAAGGATAAATATAGCAGTTTGAAAATTGGCTGGAGAAAAGACTTGTAAATTCTTCTCTTCGCAAAATCTTCTCCACTTTTTATGAGTAATGATTTTTTCCCTCGTGAATAGATAGTTATCGATAATTGGAGAGAGAATGGCATTTCAAATTTAACATTAAACCCTATACTAAACAGGGAATCAAAACCCAATGTTATAACTACTGTTTTTATAATGTATAGCTGTGAAACCATAACAATATTGTGTTGTACATCTGCTAAAATTACTTTTGAATTGCGCAATAGCATTTCCGGTATTGCAAATGAATTTTTTTGTTTCGAAATCAAAAAATAGTCCTTCACAATCGCCAAAATGACATAATAAAATATACAAAATCATCTTTTCAACAAGGAAAGAAGAGAAATGTTAATGGAAGAGAGATTTAAGTTATTACTGACATGACTCAACTGATTGTATATTTAATGTAACAATACTCCTGTCTATTCCATATACAGCTACAAAATCTTGTATAGTTTCCTTTTCCATATACCTCACACGAGGTATAACGAAACTTTTTTCAGTGCGCATGCGCTTAAGATGAGGAAATAAATACTTTTTTTTTAAGTGTGCATATTTGTAAACAGCTCTATCAAACAGTAACAATATAATTATATTTGCCACAGATACGGGAATTTTATTTCGCTATCCTTAACTCTAACTTATTTCGTGTGTGGTAGGTATTGTCCGCCAGATGGAGCTTTCCCTTTCAATTACCCTTTCTGGCGAAATTTACTTATATTCCTAGACTGACTATACAAGATTGCTTGGTAGTAATAATTGTTTATTGGATATACAATAGGTGTCACCACAGTACAAACATCGGAAACGACTGTACAAAAAGTGAGTTTTAATTCTTTAAGATGATGTACATTTGGCGCGAACAATCATCTCAAAATTTCGTCCACCAGTTTGGCTATATTCGAAATAATTGATATTTAAATCGCCATATCCTTCCACGTAATAAATTCTACGGAGCTGTGGAGGGTTTCTCGTGCTAGCAGTGAAAATTCCAACACGAGTATCAAAGGAACTTGACAAGAAGAAGAAGAAGAAGAAGAAGAAGAAGAAGTGTTTAAAAAAACTTATTAAAACTAAAAAAAGAACCGGAAATAGAACAATACCTGTTTATAGTTGATTTTCCAGAAAATTGAATACTTTTCAATCCCTTTGTAAATGTAAGAGCGTCGTAATCGGTTCGAGTAAATTTTTTCAAATTGAATGATAAAAATTCAAATTCAATTTCCTATGTGAATATTCAAAAAAAAAAGAAAAATTTTAATTTCAATAAAAAGAATGACACTACTCACTAAATTGCTGTTGGTTGTAGAAAAAGAAATTGAACACCATTTCTTATCACTACTATTTGGAACTGATATCGTAAAACTATTCATATTACAATACATTTGAACAGTTACTTTTTGCCAGTTGCAATCGATATGTCTAACAACTGGAAAAGTTGTTGGAATTGTTGGAATTGCAGTTGTAGTCTTTTCTGTTGTTTTATATTGTAAATTATCACAAACGAAATAAGTCGTTAATCGAAATCCGGAATATTCTCTATCCTTATCAGTGTTCAAATTTACTTTGATAGTTTTATTACTTTTAATAAAATACGTCCAATTCAAGTTTACTTTACTTCTATATCTATGATTTCTTATAGAACTGTTTCCTCTATTACCAATAACTGAATGACAAACATGAAAAATAATTGTTGTAAATAACAACAAAATATGGTTTTTTTTTCTTACATTGTTCACCGCAAAAACTATAAATTTGCTTCGATTCGTCTATGATTCTTACTCGATCGTATAAACATATGCTGTTCAATTCGAGATGCATAGATTTAAATTTGAAATATATGACCTAGATAAAAAATAAGATTTTATTGTATTATATCAAATTAATAATGTATATAAGTGACAAACATTTACCCCATTTTTCCCTTTTGGAGGTTTCAAGTATACTCGACAATTAGTTAAAGGTAAATATGGATTTTGCGATACGATATCGTAATCTTTTCTATTACAATCGAAATTGATTTCAGAATTTGATTTTCCACTGCAAAGAATGACGTCATTGTCAGGTTTGGGTAATTTTGTTGACAAATGTATTGTAGGAGTATTTGTTTCTTTAGCATCAGTAACATTGCTTCCATTTTTTACAGATGTACTGCCCTTGGCAGTACTCAAACCATTGTTAGTGGGACGAATTATCGTTTCCTCTTTACTAGTACTACTACTAATTGTAGTTAGTCCTACCCCATTATTGTTATTTGCAGTTGTTATTTGTATTCCACCAACATTAGAGTTGTTCTCACTTCGAAAATTTAATTTCAATGTAAAACCGGAAGTTATAGAATTTTTCCCACTTTTAAAATGGACGACTAAAGCGCCATTTGGTTTAATTTTATATTTTTTGTTTAATATCGGTTGATTGAGTCTATTTTTAAAAAATTCAGTATTATCCACAGAATTTCCTATTTCGAGGAATTACAGTATATTCATTGATAATGCCAATTAGAAATTGTTAGATAAGAAAGCCACATACCTTTATTTAGGCCTATCCCACAGAAATTTATTCTTCCGCTATCATCGGATATTGTTAGATAGTCGTAAAAGCAATTTCTTGAATATTCAACATTGAATTCTTTAAATGTCAATTCTATAAACTGAATTATAGGTATTATAAAGATAGAGATTAGGATAATCCTAATTCTAACGCTAATCCCTGGATATTTTTCAAAATACAAACCCCGCCAATTGTTTCGTCAATATTCAAGATTATTAAACAATAATGATTAATCGGATAATCTGTTGGATTATTCTTCGAATGGAGTAAATAATCCATATTAGTATTGAATTTTTGATTTAAAGTGACCTGACCAGAGCATTCTATTCTCTCTGAAAAAGTAAAAATGGTGTGTTTTTTTTATCATTTTCGCTATTCGAATCTCTTACTTTCTGTAATATTTCTCTGATTTTCTTTTTCCAATAAATCTATAAATTTGATAAATTGATAATATTGTAAAAATACGAAAATGAGAAGACAATCTTAATACCAATAAATTTGTTCACTCTGTCCATAAGATCCATTTTTAGACCTTTAACTCTACTTGAATAAAAGCTTCTGCTGCATACATTAATTCTTATTGAAAAAGAGAATAGGAACCACTTTAAATAAAAAAAAGAAGAGTGTGAATTGTAGCTTGTATTTATGTAACTAATTTGAAAAATTACCAGAATAAGGAGGCAACTTTTAAGTGGAATTTTTACCATATTTTCTTGTCACAAACTCTCTCTCTCTCTTCTCTCTCTGTCTCTCTATATTTATATACCATTTTGCTCTTCAATAGGATTATATCTTGTATTCCTTTTTTTTGTTAAAAACACCAATTTTTGCAATAGAATTTTTTCATTGTGTAGGCAAGACAAAACAACCTACGCAGTTTTTGCTGATTGTTGAACAATAATAATAGTATTATTAAACAAAATACAGCAATTCTCGGTTGGCTTGTCTTAAGTAATCAGTGAAGTGTTCTATGTTTTGAACACATCTTCGTATCTATAGATAAAGAAAGTTTGTTATATTTTCAAACAATAACATCTTGGCAGGTCTTCAAGATCTGGTCATCAAAAGACAGCTTTAAAAGATCAAAATAGAGAAGCAGTTCACTGGCTTATCATGGAAGATCAAACCACATCTCAGAGAGCAATTGCCAAAAATTTAGATATTGGTCAAGAGGCTTTTGTGAAGATGATTAAGGAGCTGGGGTACAGAAAAATTTGTGCTAAATGGATCCCCTATGATCTTAATCAGGGTCAAAAGAGGTAAGGGTGAGCCATTGCATTGAACTGCTTGATAGATATATGGCAGAAAAAGAAGCATTTTTGGAAAAAATAGTAATTGGAGATGAATCTTGGGTTTATCTCTATGATCCTGAATCAACGAGATTCCCTAACCTACGAACACACATCATCTCTACTCAAAACTAAAAATGACCAAATCAGCTGAAAAATGGGTGTATACAGTTTTTTGGGACTGCTCAGGATTAATACATGATGAATTTATGGATTATGGTGAAACAGTATGTGGAGATGCTAAAGATATTAAAGAGGAGACTAAATAGGATAAGGACTGGAAAACAGATTATTTTACAGCATGATAATGCCAGGCCCCATACCAGTCTGTACACAACTGATTTCATCAGAAATTAGGGATTGTCTGTCTGTCTCCATCGCCCATACAGCTCTGATTTGGCCCATCTGATTTTTACCTCTTTGGATGACTGAAAGATCATATCAAGGGAAATGATTACAATGAGCTAAAATAAAGACATTAGGGAATTTTTGAGGAGAAAATTTTATTGGAACAGGATAGATCTACTTCCATCCAAATGGCAGACATGTATAAACAATGAGGGGGGAGACTATTAAAGAATAAAACAGATAATTTTTACAGAGTAGACTATAGGCTATAATATAAAAATATATATAATAAGTTACATATTAGGCCCATATACAGGCCCAGAAGCAAAAATGAAGGCCAAATTTCCTATTTCTTGGTGCTGTTAAATTCTCTTGTAAACAAAATTTTTTTCTTTGGCCAAATGGTACATGTTTGAGGGTGAGCTGTCCTGACCCCCCACCTAATCCCTTTCTGTTTTGTGGCTTTTACTTCTAAACAAGGAAGTTCAAACAATGATATATGTGTTTGAAACTGTAGCCATTGGTTTTATAGCATAATTTTTTATTAAACTAATGATGAGGACTCTTTCCTTATATTGGGTATCTTTTGATACTCTTTAGCTGGTGGCTAAATAAATGTTCTTAAGTGATTAAAGTAAAACTAATGTAGTTCTATAGTTAATGCTAAATTCGTTGCATTTGTTTGCAAGAATTTTATATGTTCATGTGCATACATGCATCACAGCATATATGTATAATAGAATTGTGCATACCCAGCGCTCAATGCTATTGTTAAGTATTCATATTAAATAGCATTGAATTAAGTCTATGGTTTTCTAAAAGAGCATCTATATTGAACTGAAGTGCACAAACATCCCACTCCTTCAAGACCTTGCTTCCACAAAAGGTTTAGGGTTTGTAACAATTACTGAGTTGCCTTTCTTTGTGAATGTGGGATAAATTTGTAGTGGTACAGATTCTGGTTCAATTTCTAAGCTTGCTGGGTTGCCCTTTTTCCTTTGAAGCAATTGATAGAATTTTCTGATAATCATTGTCTTCCAATCCTTTTTGTGAGCTATGTATAAAAGTATGCCAATGGATGTTGTTATTATTATTGGCAGAAGGAAATTGATTTGTGTTCTGAGATGGGTCTTTGCCCAAGAAGAGAATAAATGATCCTTTGCTGACATTGTTGAATCAATTCCCAATTTATTTGCATAGGTAATATGTTTATCATGCTGGGTAAGTGTATCCTGGATAAAATCCAAAACTTGAAGGAACTGTTGATGCTTTTTTCCAACATCTTCCCTTATTCTAAGTTGTAATAAATCGGTTAATCTTGCTACTTCCAGTTGGGGTTCTTCTATTTCATTGTTTATCTTCATTCTGAAAGATTGTGCAGGAGCAGTTTGAAATTTGCATCCATCCCTTGTATAGTATATAAAGGTTTTCTTTCCTGAATATTTTGCATGTCTATTCTTTTCTTCATCTAGTGGATTTTTCTTGATTATGAAGAGATGTTGTGCTTGATCACATTCTCCATATCTAATATCTTCCTTTGTTATATGGTGTGCATGGTTAAGTATTGGATCAATTGAGAATCGGAGGCTGTACTTTCCTGCTGAGGTTGTAGGTAAGTACTGGTCCAAATAGAACCAAATCAGAAGTAAGCCACTTAGAAGAGAGATGTAGAATTGAGGGAGGATGAATATAGAACCAAAACATAAGAATAATATAACTGTATTCTAAAGTAATACTAAACCTGTTCACTAAGGGAGTTGATTCAGGACTGAATGCCTGTTACTGCCTACGCCCTGCTTTTATACAATTCCTTATCAGTTGTTTATGCCTTAGCTGTCAACAACAAGGGTCTAACCCTAGATAAGGATTGTTCACAACAAACAGGGTCAAGGGTTATCAAATTATGCAATAGTGATGTAAACAACAACAACTTTGTGTAGGTTACCCGTCAAGGGTCAATTCTTACATCATATTTATGTAAATAACCACTTTTTGTTGTTGTCAACATGTTTGTTATGTAACATCTTATCCTTTGCCTATGAAAGGGGTTGATTCTGGCAGTTGGGTACCATCTACCCAAGAGGCAACATCTACTTCAACACTTCTACCATATAGTAAGTATCATTTATAAAATATCTATAAACTATAGTTCATAAGTGTACATTGTGTTCTTTTGGTTCATTGATGTTTTCTTTCTCTTTAAGGACATTTTCTGTTGCATCTACTGATATGGAATGTGTTGAAAGAGGAGAGAATAAATGGTACAATTGGAATGATTTGAAATTACTCGTTTCCTTTAGCTTACCACAATGAAAATTGTCTAATCATATTCTATTGAAAGATGTTTAAGCACACAATGTTCAATTAACAATAAAATAGTAAGTACAGTCACTGTGAACATTACTTTTTATATTTATGTAATAATTATAAATTGGGGGATCAACAGAAAACAGACCCAATTGGGACAAAAAGTGGACACAAAATTTTTTAATGTAAAATGCAAGTAAATATAATGGAATAAGGTAATTTAAGGTTTTTTTTAATAGTAATTAGTAAATGATTGGATAAAAAGTAACATTAAATTTTCTATCTGTTTTTCCCAAAAGATTGAATATTTTGGATAATAAGTTAAAGAAACTAAAAGGAAATTTTTGCCAAAATTCTACTATATTTTTTAGATGCAAGAAAGAGATTAATAAGCTAAAGCAAGGTTTTTCTGCTTATTCAGTGAACTTAATAAGTGAAAGGAAACTGCAAAAAAACAGTTTTAATCTTTGAGAGATACAGTATAGTCTGTAACTTTGTTGTAATGTCAGTTACATTTCATGCAATTCCAGAAGTTTGCTTGTATTAATAATTACAATAATAATAAGAATTTTTGGGAAATCTGAAGTAGTGTTTTACCTTTTTTCCTACCATCTGATACCATACCTTTTTTTTAGAATAGGGCTGGGTTTTACCCTGAGTTTTGCTTGTCTCTAAAAATTAAGCCTAAAACCTCTAAAAATTCTCTTGCTATAATCATATAATCATTCAAGATGTTCATTAATTAGAAATATATTTTTTTAAACAAACATAAATAGAATTAGCAATAATTTTTTCTCTTTTGCAAGATTTTCCTTGTTAGTTCCCCCAATGAATAAATGTTTTTCTTTGCATTGTCCTTGTCCAACCTGGCAAATTCTTTCCATTTTATGAAATATTTCTGTTCTTTACTCTGAAAAGTAGGTTGTAATCTAACCGATAGAGTATTATTACCAGCTGGATGGTCGCTTTTATGTTGAATACTTAAGCATTTATTACCAATATTTCTTAATAGCTTTGATTTAATTAGTGCAACTTTTCCAATAGTAATGTTATAATCTGTCACAGCTAAAGAGCAAGGGTTTGAAGAACCTTTATGGAAATGTGAAATTAATTTGTTTTGAAAATTGTTAACTTTTTTTTTTTTTTTTTATTTACATTTGTTACTAAATTTTGTTCTTGACCAAACAAAATCTGGATCTCCTATGTCAAAATTCTCATAGAAGCAATATCCATTTTCAAAATTACAATTATAGCCATCTGAGCAAAAAAAAAAAATTTTTTTTCTATTTTGACAACCATTCTGTTTGTTTAAAAGCAAAACAATTAAAGACAATAATACAAAACCATTTTTTTGACAGTGTCCAGGAAGAATTTGAATATCTTTAAGTAAATTGTTTGGGAATGTAATTCTGCTACTGGCCCAATCAAATCTCAACTTGAACTGTTAAAAAAAGAATTAATTGACCTCCTAGGTAAATCTGTACTCTATGAAATTTTTTTACTTGAATTATATTCTCAGAAATTTCAAATTTAAAAATAGTAGTATTGCAATCTTGAAAGTGTTTTAATCTGTTTTCAACAATAGTTTACACCAGTGATTTTAGAACAAAATAATTTACTTAATAAAATTCTTATCATCATCATGATCACCATCTCCTACTCTTCTTACTAAGAAATCAACAGATTTAAATGATGGTCCAATAAATTTAATACATTTTGTTTGATTTTGATAATCCAGAATTGGAGAGGTTAAATTATGATTTCCATAATAATAGGCATATTCATTTGAAACTTGAAGATATTTGAAATTTTTACTGTATAAATAAAGATAAAAATGATAGATAAAAAAAAAATGATGTTATTTTTTAATATATGATGATCATACAATGTTTATTGAAATATAGATGATAATTAGTCATCAGGGGATTATCAATTGTAAAATCGCAAAAATACTTATTCAAACAATTTGATGGTAAATCTAACAGCAACAAAAAAAAAATGACAAGACTAAATTTAAAAATGGCTGCCAAATGGATAAAGAAATTGTATATTATTTTACAATTACCAGACTTTGAAGTGATACTTTTACCATTAGTTAGAGCAATTTCATCAAACATCATAAAATCGGTATAAAATCCTGACTTGTAACGAAATATTTTAAAAATTATCTAAAAGAAAGAGAAAGAAGAAGTGAATGAATATTAAATTGTTTTTTTTGTTATTATTTGTACCTTTACAGAAGAATTCGAATAGGAATTTATTCCTGTTATAGCATAACCATTCCATTGTAAACTGTTACCTTTATCAACAATATTAAATGCTACATCTCCAAGTTGTTTTTGTTCACCCTTTGAATTTTCAATGAATATCTAAGAGAAAAAAAAAATGATGTTTTTTCACTAATCAACCAAAATCAAATTTAAACTAAACTGAAATGAAATCATGTATTCTGGCAATTATTGAAAAAGTTATGCAGAAATCTTTTTCAACATTTTCTATAAATGGAGTTTTAACAATAAAAAATCTTTCAAATTTTGAATTTAGTTCTAATTTGCCGACATAACCTATAAAAAGAATTTTTTTTTTCACTTCTACATCATTTGTTTTAATACTCACAAATAGGATATTCTAAGATATTGTCTTTTTGATAAGAGCCTGTAGTTTCTAATGGAACAGTCCTTATCATATTACAAGTATCCAATAAAAAATTGCAATAGAATTGATAATTCGATGGAGTTTTTTGAAATGGAAAATGTTTCCAATAAAATCTAGAAAATGTTTGTCTACAAAAATTTTCATTATTTTCCAAATAAACAGTTTTGTTAGTTTGCCAAACATTTCCAACTGATATTGTCATTATATTCATTCTATCTAACACGTATTTTTTCTCAGGCTCATCGTTAAATTGATAAATAGTATTTTCAATTTCATACTTTTCAATTTGTTTCTTGATTGGTTCTGATATTGTTTGAATATGTAAATTAAACTTTGCCAAAATCTTATCATTATATTTCTCGAAATTGAGATTATTTATTAATTGTACTGAATGGTAAGAATCAATTTCAAATGATTTTTGAAAAAAATATGAAATAGCTCCTTTATAAATTTCAAATATTTCTGAATTGTTATTTGTCATTTGATTATTAAAAGTTCTATCAATTTTCAAATTGATATTTATAAATAATTTTTAATTTTATAATTCCTTTGATTAGAATTCTTATTTTCTAAGGATTCAAGAATTGAAATTTAATACAAACAATAACAATTAAAAAAAAACAAAGAAAATTTATGACACCTGAGAAAATGTGTGAGGTTTTGTTAAATTGATAAAAATCATATTCCATTGATAATTATTAAATTCTGTTGTTTTTGTTATTTTTGTAATTTCACCATGATCATCATTTTCAGATTGTAAATAAATTGAAAAATAACTTTTAGAATGATAACTACTTTGAAAAATTAAACAGAAATGTTTGCCATCTATTTTGATGTTTGGTATTTCAAATATAGAATATTGTGTTTTAGAATTAAATTTTGTATTCTTCTGCATTGTAAGATAATAGTTTGGTTTACCTGAAATTAATTAATTAACTGATTCATTTCTATTGGAAAAATTTATTCCTAAAAAGTTTACTTACATAGGCCATTTTGTTTTTGCATTTTCCTTGTCCAATCAAAGCCAGTTTCTGTTAGGGAATTATTTTCATTTCTGGGTTGAAATTGCAGTAGACAGAAATATTATATGGTCTCTCTCTAAATGGAAAATATTTTCTATAGAAATTAGAAACTGTTGGCTTACAGAAATTTTCTGTTACAAAATTCAATTCATTAATTGAGTAGTGTTTTTTAATTCTCCAAATATCTTTGACAGTCAGTTGAATATGAAATTTGTTTTTATAAAAATGTAATTCTTTCAAAGATTGGTCAAAAAATTTTTGAATATAAATAATTTCCAATGGTTGCTTTTCTAATTTTTCATTGACAATATTAATATGAAAAGTAGAGAAGATACTTTCGGGAGAAAATTTAAATTTATTACTTGCTGTAATTTTATCAGCTTTGAACTTTTCTCATATTGCCAAGATTTCCTTTTAAATTCTTTAACAAGTCTTTTTTTGACATCTTACAATTTTTCTCTCATTTAATAATTTTTCATAAATAGAAATTAGGTCAGCTTCTCCTTTTAGTTCATCAACAACTAACTAAAATGACAAGTTTGAACCATATTTTTATTTAATCTATGATGAAAACCCTCTAAATCATTGTTAGTTTTTATTGCGTGGTTGAAGACAGACCAAGTCTCTGGAGGCCAAAAGCTACTTTTAATCCAGTTGTCTTCAATATATTCCATCAAATCAACAAGTTTATTTCTATCCAGTAAGTCATATTTTATGTTGTTGAATTGATTTGCAATCAAAGTATGAGGGAGGTAGGGTAAAGCCAAAGTCATTTTCATCAATTTCCATTCTCCTTCTTTCTTTTTAAATTCTGAACTGTAGCCCAGATCCTTTAAATCAAACAATAAAGTTAGATTACATTTTTACAGGGTTAGTTGGGTGCGTTGTCTACACATAGGTATAATGGTATATCTATAATTAGATGTTAGATACAAAGGAACTTTAGAACTGGTAAAAGATACATGTCAAAGTTGTTTTTATCTAAGACATCTGTCTGCAAATACAGACATGTTGACCATTCATTCTCCTCAGAAATTCCCTGATGTCTTTTTTTAGGTCATCTAAATTATCATAGTCAACACCTTTCATATAATCTTTTAGTTGTCCAAACAAGAAATTAGTCAGATGGAGCCAAATCAGGGCTATATGGGGGATGTGGACATATAGACAGGGTCAGGACAATTCGGTCTGGGACAATTCGGCCTGTTTTGGGACAATTCAGTCTGTTTTGGAACAATTCAGTCTGTTTTTGGGACAATTCAGCCTGTATTTAAATTAAGAATATTACACTTTTTTTAAAACTCAAACAATATATAACATACAATACTGTTGAAAAGTGACAATAATCTAAAAACTCCAAATATAAATAGAATAGTGGAAGATATAATTAATATTCATTAAATATGATGTGTATAATAATTTGGGTTAACATCTAAGTTGTAAAATACTTTTACAACTTAGTTTAAATAGTGTATGTTGTAGTTTTAGGCATGTAGAGTACTCTATAATACTCTTTCAATATTGCTTTCCATTGATGAATGAAATGTAACAATTTGGGTGTATTGTGTGAATTTGTGAGCCTGGTTATAAGGTTATGTATTTAGTACCTACGAACTGCCTAAATGTGTACAATGAAGCAAATGAAAATGATTTTGAAATTATCAAGAATGGAAGTAAAAGAGGAAAAGATATTTTATTTCATAATAATTTTTCCTTCTCACTAAAAACAAAAAGCTCTAACATTTGGAGGTGTTCACAAAGATCTAAAAATGAGACCTGTAATGCTTATATTATTCAAAAAGGTTCAAAATTTCTAATAAAAATCCTGAAGTTGATTTACAAGGATGTGCTTTCCATTTTAAGCAATCAATTTTCAGAAACATTCAGGTATAATTAATTCAAAATTAAAGTATAAATAATTTTTAGCCTTTTTTTTGCAGAAGCTGGGTTATATCAATGACTATAATAATAAAAACTATGGAGGAAAAATGCTGAGAAAACTCATGTGTCTCTCATATATCCCACATAAATGCATTGTTTCAACATTTAATGAAATAAAGTATGAACTCTTAGAGAAAAATTTATATGGAGATTTATTAGATTATATGGAAAGGACCTATATCTATAGCAACATTTGGAAACCAAAGTATTGGTCTGTGTACAGCATGACCATCAGAACTAACAATAATGTTGAAGGATGGCACTGCAGACTAAATACAGCAGTAAGAGCAAATGAAAATTTCTACAATCTTGTAAATGAATTAGCCAGAGAAGCTGATTTAATTACAATTTATAAGAAGCTACTTTCTGAAAACAAGTTAAAGGGAATGCAGAGAATAAAACAAGCCTACCAACAATATAAAATATTTAATTTATGGGACAACTTGGAAACTAATAAAATCACTTTAGATAATCTTTTAGATGGATTAGTGGAGTTTAATAGTAGTTGTTTGTAATTTTGTGTTTTTTTTGTATTTTTTGCTTGTAGTGTTTTGATATTTAACATTCTATACATCAATAGCAAATGTTAATAAAGATAAACATTGTTCAAATTACAGTTTTGAATATAAATTTATAGGTTAAATTGTCCTGAAAAGGCTGAATTGTCTCAAAATTCGCTGAATTGCAAATAGGCCGAATTGTCCCAAAAACAGGCCGAATTGTCTCAAAAACAGGCCGAACTGTTCCAGGCCGAATTGTCCCTACATCAATGATCTGTTTTCTGGGCCATATCCTATGTAGTGTCTTCCTTAATATCTTCAGCATCTCCACATGCTGAATGGAGTTGACTGTTTTGACATAATCAATAAATTCAACACAGATTAAACGTGAACAGTCCCACAAAACAGTACACATCAGTTTCTCTGCTGATATTTTTAGCTTTTTTTCAGGTGGAGATGATGTGTGTTTATATGTCAAAGAACTCTTTTCTAAACTTCCAGTCTAAATATCATTACATTATTATTTCTTAAAAATTTTAAAAAGGAACAAATAGACCTAATAATGACAGGCAAGGGAGACATAAAAACAGCTAGAGTATTGATGAAAACAGAGAGAGAGAGATGATTTATAAGGGGTAACCTTTAGCAAAAATTTTCTTGTTTCTACCACCAAATTCATATTAAAAGGAAATGAGATATTTTCAAATAGTTGTAAACAAATTTTTCACAATTATTCAATTGAATGACAGAAAAATTTTCATATAATTCAACTGGGTGCAAATTTTTCTGAAAATAAATTCAGAAAACCTGTTTTAATATTAAAAATATTTAAAAAATGGAATATTTAACTTTTACTTTGATAAAAGAAATTGGATGAAACAGAAAATGGCCCAAAATGCATGGTTTTTACCCTAACCCTAACTCTTTTCATTACCCTTAAAAGTTAGATTGGACTCTTCTAACTGCAAATCAATAGATGTTTCTTTTTTTTCTAACCCTTTCTTAGCCAAAATATGCTGCCTTTTTAACTCCTACTTGAGGCCATTTTCTATCGATCCCAAAGAAACCTATGTCATTTATTAATAAATAAGTTTTATATTTTTTTCTTTTTATGTCAATATAGTCTTGCATATAGTGGGATAAAATCTAGTTTAAAAAGAATGAAAATCCAGTTTGACTGGTTGAACCTGTTTTTTTTTCTGAAAGAACTTATCCCAAGTGAATACAAAGCTTTATTTTTCATATAAAAGGAGTGCTGTTTAGTAAACAACATCATATTTTTGGAGTTTGGTGTGCAAATTTTTAGAAATGATGAAATACTCTCTTGCAATTATTTTCATTGGAACTCTTCTTCTAAATGTGTCTTCAGGATTCCATTCCAACCTGTTACAAGAGCTAATGGAGAGAGAAGAATTACTAAGTAAAAGAGGGGTAATTATCCAAAATTAGATTTTAAAGACTTGTCTCTCTAATTATTATTTACTTGCAGAGTAACGATATGGGAGGTTTAGAAGCATCAATAGCGTGCGAATGGATGTTGAAAGGACTAACTGGTTCAACTGCAAATGCTGCATCTTTCTGTAATGCTCCAATGAATCCAAGAACTTCGGATATAAAAATTGTGAGAACATTTTACAAATCAATTATAATGAATAACAAAAACAAAAATTTTTTTTCCCTATTATTTAGTTAAAGAACATAAAAAATCTGGAAAAGCTTTGTTATGCCGCCTGCAGAGCTGATCGTAATACTGGAATATGCGTAGATAGATGTGATGTTTCTCGTTCATTCACTCTCGGAAAGAATTAAAATTAATGTTTAAAAGTTTATTAATAATAAAAAGAAATATAATTTTGAAATTCAATAAATTAAAATTAAAAACAAAATATCAACTAACATGGTTGGCAAAAATCCTGTTGGAGCTTACAACAATCATTATCCATTATGTAAATACCAAATTTACATAGTTTGTAATTTCTTAAATGTTGACAAAGAGTAAATGGATCAAATATACCTTTAGATTCTCTTTTCAATTGATCATCCTATTCTATTATACAATATCTCCATAGAAGCCCTGTCGATCATTTTTGGATGCCAAATGCAATCATTCTTGCGCAATACAGGGGAATCTGAGTTTATTAGTCAACACTCCAGTTCAAAAAGTATTCTACAAATTTCCATTATAATACAAGTCATGAGAAAAATTAAATGTGTCCAGGATAGGTGATTTAGGCTAATATTATATACTTTGCTCATTCTGATGTCAGTGGGTAGATGGTTATTTTTACAATGAATATGTTATGTGTCACGATCGCTAACTAGTATTTGATAAGCACCAGTCATTGGGTCATAAATCCATCTCAACTGAAGCAGACATCAACAGTATACGCCCTTCTAGTCAACAAGATTGGAGAAAGTGTTTGGAAAGTAATCATTTGACAAAAGATTCAATATAATGGAATGAATCTGTTGACATAACTCTTTTCTTTGGTTGGATTAACAGCATAAAAAAATCTATTGATTCTCAGAAATACAAAAAATTTTAGTATTTGTTCAATAGATTTATTGAATAATAAATTATTTGCTGATATTCAAAACAAAGTGGTCGATCGTTTCTTTCTTAAGCGTTTTATGTTCAGATATATTGAATGTTCTTTCTAAATAGTTACTGTATTTATCAATAATTGCAAGTTGTAACAGATAGTTTTAATATTTGAAATATAGATACAAATAGAAAAGGGTGATTTGTTAATTATTCAATTAATCACAATGCTTTCACTTCAAATCTTCTTCGTATCCTTATCAATTTGCTTTATTAATGGATTTATAACAAGTAAGCCTAATTCTAGTGTTAAATTCAAAAAAATTATGGATTATCTCTTTAAATCTAGACATTGGAAAATTGTTGAATGTAGCCAATAAAAAATATTTAGCCAAGTGTCAAGTGTCATCCTTTGCCCCTGGTTATTATGGTCATTATACTTATGAATGTGAAAATGCTCTTGTACCCACTTGGATTAGTAATTATGAATGGTCTGCCCAATGTTTTAGTTTAGATTGCTTGAATGAGTGGTATCAAGTGGAATTTAGGAAAAAGTACAATATAACTCACTATTGTCTCAATCAAAGATATGGTCGTAATTCGTCTAAAATGAAGAAGATATCTGTTAATTTTGGAACAAATAGTAACTATTTCTACGAAATAAATCTCTACGAAACGTGCCTTTTATTGGAAAGAGAGCAGAGTTCAATAGAAGTTCAAATTATACGAATAACAGTAACTGAATTACTCCATTTTCCCAACTATATAGGATTTCAAACAGTTTCTTTTTATGCCTTTGATGGTATCTATCTATTCTTTTTTATTATATTACCTTTAAAATGTAGTTTATCTATATGTCTAGATGGCGCCACTAGCGATGATGTATTTTTTGAAAATGTTGCCAAATCTTCGTTGGGTGCAACGTGCACATCGTCGGCAGGAAATGACTGTATTTTCTGTTTAGATGAATTAATCAACACTGATTGGATACCTCAATGCATTATCAGCTGTACAGGGCAGCATATTAGAGTATCATTTGCTTATCCAATGAAACCAGAGTTTTTTTGCATTTCCAACAGGTATCTTTATTCCATTTAGAAGAAAAAACTATGATCTAAACTTTCTATTAAACAGACTAAATACAGGTAATAGCGTAAAACGGATCTCTGTAACATGGAGCTCTGGTATTCAATTTAATTCAATCACTCTACCTTCAAATTTGAATACTGAATGTTATAATTATACTAATAATTTTACTGAATATTGGATTCAATTGGAAATTTTGGATATTTATTCAACATTAGACGTGGCTATAGGCTCAATTGATGTTTATACAAAAAGTAATCAATTATAATTATTTTTCCAAAAATGATTTTTCTATTTAAATTCTCTCTCTTTTGGCAGAAATTGACAATTTTATATTTAGTATTCAATCTACTGACTCATTCATTTATCAATTATCTAGCGATATCCAATCAAATCTTTCTCTAGTGAGTTTCAAAGTGAAAGATGTCAAGGGAATATGTTCAAGTTTTAATATTGAATTTGAAAACTTTGAGAAAAGATTAATGGTGACAATAGAACTTGAGAAAAATGGCTTCTCTTTCCTCTCATCAACCTATCCATCCAAAAAAATTGCTCCATTTAATCAAACTACTTTGATAAACTGCAATGACTGGAATCATTATTGGTTTGAGTTTACAACTACTCAAATTAAATTTGGTATTTTTGAACAGAATAGAACTCAATTGGCATTCATCAATACTGATACAACTGATTATAATATCACTCATTTTGTAATAAGGAATTTAGCATCAAATTCAAATAATAATCTCCATTTTCAGTTTATAGGTATTAGTAATCTCTTTTTACAATTTTGAATAATTTTAATTTGAAACTATTTCCGCTTCCGTTTTAGGTGGAAGACAAGTTAAAATTTTAGAATTTTCAAAAAGTCATTTCTCAATTGTCTATAATTTTTTCCAAGAGTTCATTTACCTGTTTGTACCAAAGAAATCCTTATCAACATTCCTCCATTTTGAATATATTACCAGCAATGAATTGAAGATAGCTTTAATTAATCCAGTGGTTATTAAGAAAGAAGAAATGACAACAAATGAAATGTTAAAAAATGATTTAAATGCAGAAATAACTACTAGAAATTTTACCAATTTTGGAACCATCTGCAAAGATCAAGCAGTTAATATAATAAAATCAAAAGTAATATTCAAGTGTCAACACAACACCAAAAATGTATTTCTAGATATCATATTCAAAATTGTATTCAAACTAATCAGCAACATAAATAATGAAATAATATGTGAACTATTCTATTCAAATATTTGAATAACAAATCTCTGTGTTTTGTTCATTTTGTGTACAAAAAATTAATTCAACTCTTCAAATAATGATGAAAAATGAAAGAGTTTTTTTATTATTTTTCAATCAATTTCTATTAAGTTTGTCTGTAGAACCATACCATTCCACGCTGGGTCTAGATGTATCCTAAACTTTAAAATGTTAAGAATTTATATACTAAATTCGGCCTATATCTGGGATTTATCTGCATATTTTATCAATTGAATTATGCTAACTCTACAACAATTAACAACATTGTTAAAGTAGCCCTATGTATGAAATACTATTTAAACTTAACCCTGAAAAATAAGGAGCAAACATACCCAGGTACTAAGCCTTACCTGACTGATGTATGATAAATGTTCGTCATGCAATAGTTTGACTAATAGATATTGTCTTATTAGTTCATCAGAAGTTGTTTAAACATCAAACCATTTTGAAAATTGTTCCAAGTTGATTTCAGGCACAATGAATTGTTTGTGGAAAATCTAATTGTGGATACTATTTCACCTGAAATGTCTTTCTAATGTGCCTTGTTTACTTGTATAGGTCGGATATTGTATATGTTTGAAAACACAGGCAAAATAGAGGTAAACTGAGTATTTTATCATTGAAATGGCTATTTAAAAACTAAGATCTTTAGCCTTGAAAAAACATATTAATTGTGAAATATATTGATAAAACTGTTTTTTATCATTCTTTAATTATTCATTATTTTCCCTCTTAATTAGTTTATTTTTCAATCCATAAACGCCGTTTTTCTAACTAAAAGGTTTACCTTTTATGAGGAAAACTTTCCATGTGAGAATTTAATATTGAAATTGAATAGTAAAATTTCACACATTTGTCATTTTACTTGTAACTAATTTAGATCTACTTCTAATTGAAGTATAACGTTCACTTGGCCAAATTGCCCCTGTAGATCATCATTGAAATCTCCTTTGATTTTTACAATTGGATTTTTTATGACTGATTAGAAAAGAGCTTACTATACAGTGGCATAAAAACTTACAGAGCAATTACAAAATTATTGGACCTCATATATTTGTATTATGATTTATATATTGAGTATTGGAGAAAATTATGATAAAAGATTTATGAAGGAAATATTATCCTGGGTTAGCTTTATCACAAAGCTAACACGATTTAGCAGAAAGTTTGCTTAGTTTGAAATCTTATAGATGACTTAGTATAACCATGAATTATTGGATTTATCATTGAATTCGAAAGGACAAAAGAATATTTAAATTAGCATTCCAATTATCTCCATTTTGCACTATGTGCAAATTGATAATAGTAGTTGATGATAGTACAATCCAATAGATACAAATTCACTATCAATAAAGATGATAGAACGCCTATACTACTCCCTTGAGCTTCTATATTAGCAGCGTTCCAGACATCAGACACTACTCTTCTCCTATTTTTCTTAATTGCTCTCACTACTGGAACGTATAACAATAGATTGATAATGGAATTTGGTACAACGGTCACGAATGACCAAAAGTACAGAAACGAAACAGGAAATACATTGGCAATTTCACATTCAACAGTAATATTCTCTTTCAAACCAGTCTCGTATAGATTCCAACCCATAACTATGGGTTATGTAATTAGTGTCAAGATTAAAGATGACATTCCAACTGTCATAAAAACAAACTGGGTTAAAATGAGACAACCATAGAAATTGGTTTGTCTGCTTTTCAGAAGAAAATAAACTGATATGCCAATTGAGAAAAAAAAATCTGTACAAGTCATTGCAGTTACACCAAAATTATGTATTTTCTTTATATCTTTATTTATTATACGAATTACGATTAAATTACAGTTTAAAATCAAACCAACAAACTGATTAAAGTGCGTGAGCGATAATATAGCAATTTTAATAATATTCATCTTTACACTTCAGTCTTCGAATGAAGAAAATGAAAAGATGGACCTGACAAAGAACAAATGGAACGTATTTGCATAATACATTAATTGCACAAATGTAACTCTACACTTAATATGGAAATAGTGATTATTAATTCAATTTTCATCAAACAATTTTTTCAAGCAAACCTTGATGATTTATTTTAAATTCATTTGTTAAAGAACTCTGATTATTTCTTAATAAAACTTGATCAACGTGTACAAAATAAGACTGATTACTATTTCGGAAATGAAAAACTAGGGAAGAACAATCATTGTCTTGATTCCTAATTTGACCTTTAACCTGGAAGCTAAAGGTCGTGAAGCGTTACGTTTCAAGCTGAAATGTCCTGGCTCAAACTGTGAAGCAACCCTTTGAATTAGAATTAGGATTTAAGTACATTTTTGTGTGAATTGCTATTAAAAATTTCTGTCAATATATTTTCCTGTCTGAGGGAAAGAAAAAATAATCTTTACAATTTGTTCCACTTGTTATTGGTATTTGCTGGAATTCACAGTTTTCTTCTGATTCTCTCATGAAGTATTTTATGTAGATTTCAACATTTCTTAAAGTTCTTTTTTTACTATTTTGCAGGAATAACATTGAAAACATAAATGCTCTTATAAAAATACTTCCTTTATCTGTTCTCCAAGCCGCTCTATCTGGTATTGTTGAGTTTAAATGGAATATATCAACTAAGTTGGATGACTTTTCCGAAGATGAGGACAGGGTTATGAAATTTTCATTTGAAGAATTGCTTTTGCCTGAAAGTTAGATATTTTAAAGCTAAATTAAAGAGAAAAACAACTATATACCTCGACAACATTGAGTTAAAAAGATTTTAGGTTTATCCTTTAAACAATCCATACTGAATTTCTCATACAATTTATCAAATGACATCATATTGTCATCAATTTCAGTCAATGATCTTAATTTAAAACTATCATCACTTCCGTGTGCTAAAATGCAGACAATAACAGATTTTATTTCATTTTCTTCTTTTGATATTTTTTCCTCGAGATCAGCTATTTTGTCACATAAAGCCAATTTTGTACAATTATACCACTCTTCACTGTTGTAGTTCAAGCTACTAATCATTGATCTTAGATTTTTCAAATCTGTATTTGTTCCCAATTCTCTATTCTCCAACATTGCAATGATGATAACCATGTTCCTGCCTCTGGTGTCATATAGTTCCTGTGATAAAAAATCAATAAATCCTCATCATCTCTAGTGGATAGTATGATTTCCCTCACAATTGAGGCCAACAGTGAATTGTACTCGAAATGAGACACTGTTGTTGAGATAAAATGGCAATATACCCTAATAACTTACTTCATTATCAATCTTAGCAATCAAATTGCTATTAGTCAAAAATTTTTGGTCAACAGGCTGAAGAGGAAAACTGTAAAGTGATTCTGAAAATAAAAAATAACATGAACTAGAGTCTGGGAGAAAATGGCCCATGTTTTCATTCTCTACCCTAACCCACAAACTACCCAGCTTCTTGCCCTTTATTCTTTCTAACCCTCAGCTCAGCCTTGAATGAACTTAAAAAGAGCTAAATTAAAATTTTCCCAACCTTGGAAATGTCCCAAAAATATTAAACTAAACTTTACTTGGTCTTTCTCTCCCTAACCAAAAAAAACTAACCCTGCTCTGTGAAAAAGTTCACAAATGTTTTAGGACTTAATTCAATATCCTTATTATTCTCATTACTCTCAAGGCAATAGTAAAGAAAGTCATCACTCCACAATCGTTTTTCTTCAGATTCTGATTCTAAATAGAATTCCAAACTGGATCTAAAATTATTGATATTTGATATTTCTCTTTTAAACCTTAAAAAGCATTTTGCATCTGAAAATTATTGCATTAACTTTATATATTTGTTAAACATCAATTGTTTATTCATTTATTAAACTTACTGTTTTCAAATTTGTTAATTAAATCTTTAATGCTTGTTGTTATAGTATCCTGAACAATGTCATTAGATTTTAATTCACAAAATAAACGAGTTTCAGAAATATTGTCTTTGAATTTTATCTTAAATCCACCATTTATTAATGAAACATTGCCTTTCTAAAATTATAATCTTTTTATTGAATAGTATGTTGTGTAATATATTTTTCATACCTGTTTTACTTCTAAATCTTTTCCTAGCTTGTAATAAATATATAAATAATATTTATCTATTTCCTTTTCTAAATTTATATAATATGTCAGCCACACTTCATCACCTTTTTTCAACTTTTCCTCTATACCAGCATTGCAAAAGTGGTCAATTCTCATTTTAACTTTATTAAAAGAATATTCCAAAATGTTTACATTATCTGTTGTCTGAATTTTGTTCATAAAGTCAGTTTTGGAATTGTAATGCAATATTGTGGTCATTTCCAGAGTTGGTTTATTATTTCCATGAAAGGTGACATTTTCAGGTTCACACAAAATAAAATTATGAAATAAAATTTCCTTTCCACTGTCATTCAAATTAACATTTTGTCTTATTGAAATGACTGTTATTTCATCAAAACTTTTCATTGGAAAAGACAATTTAGCATTGTCAATTTTTAAATCTATCTCTTTTCCAGTCCAGATCCAAGTGTCATATATTTTCTGATTATGTCTAAATCTGCTCTGTGGTTCAAATGAAAAATTCTCTTCATTCTTTCTTATACCATTGAGATTAAATTGTAGTGATATATTCAATTCATGATCAAGGTCTTCAACCAAGAAATTATCTTTAAAAACAAATCCTTTTAGTGTAAAGAATGTATTGAATTTATTTTTGGATAAATTTAATTCTTTTCTTTTAATTATAAATTCAACTTCAGTATCTGGTTGTAAAGTTGGCTTTAACTTTTCCAAAAATATAATGTGTGATGCAGAATTAATGCATTTAATATCTGATGTTATCAACAATTCAATTTGATTTACATTTTTGAAAGATTTTAATATTCTTAAACATAAGAAAAGAAAAGTTGGTTTATCTGATTGCTTTATAGGCCAATACCATTTTTTTGCGGTGTTTGCATATAAATCACTTGTTAACCTATCAGCTTCTATTAAGAAGTTACTACTTAAATCCCAATGAATGCCTAAATTATGTTTAAAGTATGGAATAGTTATCCAACCAATTTTTTTAGTATGTTTTAATGTGCTAAAAAACCTGACAGAAGTTTTCATTACTTCAATGCAAATGAAGCAATCTTTTGTTATAGCATTTTCTTTCAAAACCAAATTTAAACCAACAAAAGTTTTAATTATTCTATCACTCTTCCTTAAATGAAGATATATTATCATTGAAGAATTAGACCAAATTACAAGTGGGTAAGCTCCTGTTCCTAATTTGCAGACATTATCATCCATAAACACTTTTCTATTAATGTCATTAAAATAATCAATTGCTGTAGAAATTAAAAAAAATGACAATCAAAATTTACTAAACTTTCATTGAGAATTATATATTATACATTTTTTACTAATCAAACAAAATAAATGAAAAAAATCATAGATACCTTTAGAGTCAAAGTATTTATACATTTTGTAAAGTATATTAAAATCTTCACTTGGTTTTGGACAATCTTTTGTTGACCTAACAAATGAGATTGATCTACAACAAAAATGTTGCTTCATTAAATTCTTTATAACAGCTTTCCTATTATCAAATTCATATGTATTGTTAATGTTAAGTTTCGTCACTAAAAACTGTAAATGGATATTATGTCCCAGATCAAAATGGTCATTACCATTAAATGAAAATTCAAACAACCAAATTGAATTCTTTTTGAAAAATTCATTCATATTTTTGAATATTGAATTTACATCACACAATTCAAACTTATTCCCTTGGAGGTTCACTATCTCAAGATTAGGGTTGCTCTTCATTGCATCAATAACTAAAATTCCAACTTCATGACTGAATGAACATTGAGGGAAATATAAGACTCTTAATTTCAAACAATTTCTCTTAATACTCTGAAATATATCTTTGGCCATACGTGATCCAAAACTATTGAATCCTAGGTATAATTCTTCCAGATTTGAATTAAAACCAATAACTTGATCACTTGATGATTCGTTATCTTTAAAAGAACAGTTTGAAAAATTTAGTACTTTTAATGAAAGACAGTGATACTGAAGATTTATAAATAATAAATTCCCAACAGTGGAACCAAAACTATTATTAGATAATGATAATTCTTCAATATATGAACTTTTTCGAATTGCATCACCAACAATATCACCAATACTTTCATCAAAACCACAATTTGATAAATTCAAAATTCTTAAATTAGAATAACTTTGAGAAATACTGTCAAAAATTCTTTGACCAACTTTTGAACCAAATTTATTGTCTTGTAAATATAATTCTTGAAGATATGAACTTT